GGGGGGGGGGTGGGCTCTCGCAGTCTAGCGCAGACTCATAGTCTTCTCGTTTGGTCCCTGTACACATGCGCTCTGTGAGTTGCGCGGAAGCGCACCGGAAATGCCCACGCCGGGAGTCGAGTGGGACTTGGCGCACCGTGTCCCAGCCTATGTGTCACTCGTAGGATTTCAGGATTGTGGAGGCTGATGATTTTAGCCTCCGCAGGGTCCGACGGGAAGCAATTTTCAACGCAGAAGACCCGAGACCTTATTTTTTGCAGCAGCATGGCGATGCAGTTTGCAGCTGAAGCAGGATACGGAGTGCAAGGCTGCTGCAGGGATCAGTCTCGAAGAGATATAAGGGCATCTCTGGGCATGTGTCGTAGCGGCTTTGTTCATCTTCCAACCACCAACAGATTCAAACATGTCCGACACAGCAAAAGTCGTTCTGATCAGCGGCGGCAACACAGGAATTGGCGCCGCCACGGCCGAGCTGCTAGCTTCCCAAGGTTGGCGAGTCATCATCAGTGGACGTAACGCAGATTCTGCCAAGCGTGTCACTGACAGCATCACTGCCAAAGGTGGCCAGGTCCGCTTTCTGCAGGCGGACATCGGTCGCGAAAATGAGGTGATTCGTCTGCACAAAGATGCATTGGACATCTGGGGACGGCTCGACGCTGCGGTCAACAACGCCGGTATCTCTACGGACAGCGCGATGTTTCACGAGCTCGACACCAAGCACTTCCGCGACATGCTCGAGGTCAATGTTCTGGGCTTGTTCTGGAGCATGAAAGAACAGGTGAGTCGCTTTCGTGTCCATCTGACATCAGAAGCGTCTACCATGGGAAGAAATCACTGACCAACCTTGCGTCGAAGTTGTCAGCTCAAGCATTTTTCCAAGAGTGGCAAAGGCCATATCGTCAACCTCAGCTCGATTGCTGGTATGCACGGAGTGCCTTTCACTGGTAGCTACTCGGCTACTAAACATGCCGTCTCGGGCATGACACGCAGCGCAGCCCTTGACTACGCCAAGACAGACATTCGGATCAACGCTGTGGCACCTGGCGCCATTCAGACTGACATCCTATCTGACGCGCTGAGACGAGGAGTTTACACATACGAAAGTATCGCTGACATGTTCCCGACCAAGAAGCTGGGCGTCGCGCTTGACATCGCCCAGGCGATCAGCTTTCTGCTGAATTCCAACTATGCTACCGGCTCGTTCGTTAGTGTCGACGGCGGCTATGGCATCTAGGTCGAGCCTCGCTAAACACAACGCTGCGCTCTGTCACGGGTCAGTGCAGCGGGAGACCAAAGGCGGCAGACAAGAGGTACCTGGAATGAAACAAACGTCGCATTCTATCTACATCAGTGTGTGCAAATAGACTCATCTCCATCGGGCGCGAGCGAGTTGAGCTCAATAGAGGCTCTTCCACTAGCGCACGATACCCGTCTTGTGTCCTGTCGGTTTTGCCTGCATCATGGAGCGCCTCGGCAGTATCCTTCCTAGTTTCAACTTATGGCCCACGCCGCAAGCGCTATGACTAAATGTGAGAACGTCGTAAACGCAGGGACTCTACAACTTCTGCCTTGTTTGAACGGGCTACCTTGTTGGATCGCACGAGGCGCTCTTGTACATTATTGGTATGAGCGTTCAATCCTTCCACAGAAGGATCGGTTCCAGGCCGCGCTTGGCACGCCACCAATTGGTCCGATGCAAGACGTCATGATCGAATATATCAGCATATCGTTTGGCAAACGCTTCTTGTAGCTCCCAATTATCCATATCAGCTGGGTCGCCCCCCTGCCAAATGATGAGCGGCTGAGGTGCGCCAGTTGTTAGTGGGTGCTGCAGAAGGTCCTTGCAAAACTCCTGCTGATCGATCGATCCATCGCGAAGCGACCTAATCACACGATCTCGCACCTTTGGCCAAGGGCAAAAGATGTCGAAGAAGGCATGGTGATCGTCACTCAGCTGCAACGAGGTAGGATGCATGTTTGGCGGCAAAGCGTCCCAAGCAAGGTGTTGTTCAAGTGTTTGCGAGCCCGTGTCGTCGCGGCTATTGCAGGATGTTGCGTTTCGGGCCGAAGATTCGAATCGACGCGTGCACGATTGCTGGTGCAGTCGCCAGCTGGCGGGAATTGGATTGACGCTGTCATACTGCTCCATCACATGGACAGGGAGACCTAGCCGCGTGTAGATAGCCTTGTACACGGCCACAAAGGTCATGCTTGTCAGCGAAAAGTGTTCCGCCTCATTGACCAGAGGTTCCACTACAGAAATAAAGTGATAAAGCAGCAACGCTTCGTCTTCAAGTGTATCAGCGTCGCTTTCACTGGCGCTATCGTGCTGGCGTATGGTCCCACCCACTTCCTCGGCAGAGACACCGATGCCACCATGCACACTGCTCGGGGCCGGTGCACTTCTGCCAGACTCGGAGCTACTCTGCTGCATCAGTCTAGCCCTGTCGCGTCTGCGTTGCTGTGCTTTGGCGTTGCTTCGTCTTCGTCGCTCGGCCATTTCGGCGTAAAGTGAAAGTGCAAGACCGCCGCTCGCATCTGTCACTGCGAGGGCTGACGAATCATCGCTGCGGATAGCATTCTGCCTTGGTACATTCGATGTATCACGAGCCGTCGGGTTGGGAGACAAGGGCGCCATGCTGAACGGTGGACGGCAAGGAGTTGGCTGTGGTGGAGGAGAGAGGCGCAAAGAGGGGTGCAGACGTCGCGATTCTTAGAATAAGTCCGTTCCGTGGCTTGTGCAGCGCTCACAACTGCAGTCATGTTAGTTTCTGGTCCGGTTCGAAGAAAAGATAAAACACCCCGAAATGTTAGTGCTCCCGTTAGTGGGCAATTTTCGGAACACCGTGGTCTGGGTTTGAGCTTGCTTATGCATCTATACAAACACCGTGCATAACTCATGCACAAGCAAACAGACTTAACCCTAACCCTAGGCGGCGGTGCGGCGCGGGCGCGCGGCGGACGCGTCCGGCCCGCCAAATGGGCGAGCGCGGCCCTGTTCGTCGGACCCAACGGACGCGCCAATCTACACTGCCCAGGTGCCGCAATGGTTTGAATTTTTTTCTGGCAGGGGCAACGGACGCAGGC